CATACTTGTAATTGTAACATCAAAGGCAACAAATTGAAAATGAGTTAATAGCAACTAAATTATAATTAGGTAATTGATTATAACAAATTGAAATGAGTGTAAAAGTTCGAGTAACCTAAAGTATAATTCAACCATTATTAGTAACAAATACAAATTTTGATTTTCTATTTTTTGTCCAAAGGCCAAAACTTTAACGGTCACGTGTAAAATGGTATTTTCTTATGGGGGTCCCACAAATTTTTTCTAACCTCGGATCTAAAGAAACTTTGTTCGAGCAATCCCACTTATATGCTTTGATCTAGCCATATACTCGTTTAACAGGTGCTAAATTCCATTATGTTTTAGAATTCAACATGTGATAAACACAAAAAAGAAAAAAGAAAAAAAAAAAAAAAGGTACTCTCTCTCTCTGCGTGTAAACATTACAACGAAAACATCTTCAATTTTCAACATGTTTTAACACTAGCCATCAATCATTGAAAGGAGCGCCATGTTGTTCTTCTGTCATTGCTGGAACACGGAAGAGATTCAGTATTACAAAAGTAATTTCATTAAGTTCAATCTATACAATTCTTGATTTTTCTTGTAATAAGTGAAATAAGGTAAACATAAATCCATTTCCATAGTAAACGTGTATAAAATCTGTGGTTAATGATCTTTCTTTGCTACAAGATCGTGTTGTAGTTACAACTTTTGAATACAGAAAAGGAAAGTACATGATTGAAACTAACTCTTGGTGTTCAAAGTGATTTAGTCTCTTCATTTTTTTTTTTTTCCTTTTAATCTCGATCTCGATTCTGCAATTTATCTTTCTCTACTTTAGCAGGTTGCAGCACGATTTATTTTCTTCAATGATTATTAAAGCCACAAACAAATTATCTTTCAATATGATTAAGGTAAACAAAGATCCTTTTCCATTGCCAAACAGATCTACATACAAGCATATTTTGTTGTGTTAATTTTATATATACACGCATAGATATGTATGTATGTAACAATAATTATTTTTAGATTTTCAAAAATGGATTAGGTTATAGGACCAGTCAGTCTTGGTTTCTTGGATCATCTAATGTGTGTCTATATATATATATATATTGCCAGATATCTTCAATCTTCACAACAAAATAGCAATGTAGTTCCTCATTTTCTCAATCTGCAACATATATATATAAATATATTTATAGATTTTGCCAATGTAATCCCTAAAATTTCTGCAACATTTAACAGTCTTAGATTGGCCGGGCTGCTGGGTGGGGTCACGGACATGTTGCGAGGAGAGATCAAAGCACTTGCTTTATTTCTCTTCTCAATGGAATTATTAGGCAGTAACTAGGATTTTAAGAGAATCTTTCATATGAGCTATGCTAATTAATTCAACTTTAGGGTTCTCTAAAACAATGTTCAAAGTTAATATAAATTGTCATTGAACCCAGCTTGATACCTCCCGTCAACGTCGTGAATTCAACTGTTGATAATAATTGTAAAACAGGGTTTCAGTTTTAAATATATGAATGATGTTTAAGTCAAGGTTCAATTATCAGGTATGTAGTTGTCATATTCCATAAATTTCTCGATGAATCAAGGCGTGTCCAATCCATTTCAAATGCACCTTTGAAGTCCTAGTAAATTATACCTTGTCCGACTTGAAAACAACTGGATGCCAACGGAGCAACTTTCAGGCCAGTTGGTCTTTCCCTAGCTTAGTGTCTCTTTTTTGAGTTAACTTCTATATGTGAAATGACTGACCTCTATTAGACCTCTATTCTTCTTGTTTGTCTTACATGAGCATAGATGTTTGTAGCTTAAACTTCCATGGTGCGAGGTGGGGTCTTCTACTTCAACCGTAATTATGGCTAACCTTCAAAAGAACATGAGTTCGACATCTCTCATATGTTCAAACCTTTTACCAATTTGGAGTTCTCGTATACTTCTATTTCATTGTCTCTTTCAAATACTTTTGGATACAACATTTGCCCCCAGTCCTAGATGCTACATTTATCATAAGGTCAGGCATCCTAATTAGGTTGGAGGGGGCACAAGACACTACTTGAGCAATTATAAAGCATCTCTAATGCATTTTATGAAGTGTAGGCTACATGGCAGTTGGTAGACAAATAGAGATGCTTCCATCCACATGCCACATATGTCGAATGTATAGTCAGCCAAGTTCATCTCCAATGAGGTTTCATCCAAAACTCAAATTTCTTTCAGATGATCTCAATAATTATCGCTTATAGCACCCAAGCTCACATGGCCTAGATTTTTCAGTAACTTAACCTTCTATTGTACTCTTTGAGATTCTATTGTACTGAGGAGGTTTTCTTGGCTTATGAGTTCGAGATTGATGTTATCTCAATGTGGCCACCACTAGATTCTCAAACTCAATGATGTGGTACTTACCTTTGCTCACTCCTCTATGAGAAGTTTACAAGCTTGGGCTTGTTTCTACTTGTTGCTGAGTGATTTGAGGCATCACTTGATTTAGTTGACGACAAAGCTTAAAAGAACTCGTATGAAAGAAAGACCTAGCTTTAGATGATCGTTGGCTCGACCTCCCTTCAACATTTTGCTGTGAAATGTGTAAAATGAGGCATCACTTCCCACCAATGGTGATTCTTTGATCTTCAAGCTTCAAAAAAAATTTGAGCTCAATTTCCTTCTACCTTTCACCATGGAAGTAATCTCCTACCCTGAGCTGGACACACTTCTACCCATCATTGTTGAGGTTGCTTGCTTAGGCAACACATTCATAAGATACTGAACTTTTGACTTTCGAGCTTCAAAAGGCTGTGACCTCGGTTGGCTTCTTTTCGCTAAAGAAGCCTTGTAGCATCATAGAATCTCATGCTTGAGCTCCGTTCTACCTTTCCTGTTTAGGTGGATCAGTAATGCAACATTATTATTGATTATTCTTTGAACCTCAAGTTTCAAGGTCTTGTACAAGTTGAATGCCATTCACTATTGAAGGAAAACCTCGTAGCTTCTAGTTTATATAAGTTCTCCTCGTTGAACCATGTCCAAGCTTGCGAGCTTTTGCCTACCTAAGAAGTTTGGTTGCATGCTAACCTATAAAGACGGGTTGTATGCCTTCTAGACAATGACTTTCATGCCAAGATAGCCTCCATGAATGAGCCTAATGTTTCGACCAGTGGTGTTAATCCGTCATCTTCATGGTCCTGACTTTTGTTTTGGAAAGGCCTGTCCATGTACCCTTTTCTTCAGTCATCTTCACTTCCACCAGGGTTGCAGTTATTGCATCCACTTTCTTCTAGAATCGGCAACTCATCCACTTGGCATTGTTCTGAAAGGCACATTGTAGCTTTTAGAGTGAAAGGTTGGGGGGAATGTCATTGTCTGGTTCCTTAAGACCAGCGCTCGCTTCTATCTTCAGGTAGGCAGACTTATTATAGTGGACAAGCATCATCTCCTGTTTTCTGGGTGTTGTGGGTATTGTCATTGCTATACTTTGTCGGTACTACTAATCTTCGCTAAAAAATGATGAATATGACTAATTTAGGGATGAAATTTTAGCTTAGTCTTGCTATTTCTCATAGACAAACCTCATCTGTTAGCATCAAATCTGCAGAGTGCCTCCAATCATTGTTGTGAACCTCAAAATGCTGGAAAATCTGCAAAAAATGCATCAACCAATGAGCTTGACCGCTGAAGGTAACCTGTTCCCACAATCTAGTCAGTTACTATCGTAGGAAGAATAATCCGGCAAAGATTCAGTAGGCTGAATGACGTTGCATACCTGTAACAGAATGGTCAAGAGCAGGGGCGGACCCATACCATTTAAATTGTGGGGTCAAAATTTTTTTTTTTTTCGAACAACGTATCATGAAAAAAAAGGAAAAATCGATTGTTTGCTGTTCATGTTCGATATGGACCATGTGATATGGATATAGATTTAGAATTTGGACTTTTTAGGACAGAAAATTGAATTTTCAGCACAAAAAAAAAACAGAAAATTAAGTTTCAGCACCAAAAAAAAAAAAAAAAAAAAAATCAAATTACTATCATAGGAAGAATAATCCGGGAAAGATTCAGTAGGCTGAATGACGTTGCATACCTTATAACAGAATGGTCAAGAGATTAAAAGGTGGGAGAGGTGTCCAACTTGATGAAGTAGGCAAATGACATATCTTGTGAATGAACCCATAAGCATTTTTGAGTGCCTCATCCCTCACATGCTTCTATTATGTCTTTAAATCGTTGGTAAATCACACTCTATATGAGTGTGAAACACACTAACTAAACTGAAAACATCTTAAGTTGTGCAGGAGCTCTTGCACCGACTTCAACCTTGTCATCTCTGATAGTCCTGACACATCAGGTTAGTGGGTTTTTGAGTGCTACATCAGTGTGCCCGTCAATTTTGAATACAACAGTTAAGATTAACCAAACACAAGAAGAAATTGGAAGTTTCCATTGAACAAAGTAACCGTTCAACAAAAAGATTCAAAGAAATACCTACCACTTGAGCTTTGTAATAGCAAACTGTCTATAGAAATAGCATGTAAAATGGTAACATCTTCGTGTCAATCACCACAAACCTATTCCTGTGTAGGCAGCTTCATCGAGACATAATTACGACACGATCGATACGGTGATAGGAAATATTCATCTTCTCGAAAATACACAAGCTGTTCTGCTAGTTTCTTTTGGTTAGGGTACCGTACCTGACTCGAGAATAATGATTATAGATCAAAGTCTATAGCCATGAAAAACAAGTGCAACAGGAAGAATGGTGTAGAAATTATAAAAGAACTTTTGCGTCATAAATTAATTGGCAAGCTGACAATAAAGGAATACAGAAATTATTAAGCTTTAATTTAGTAAACTTTACTTTTTAAGTATCTTATTTTCTAGCATGTAACTCTTACCTTATTATTAAAATAAGTAACTTATTTTCAATTTTGAACAATACAATCTATTTGTTTTGAAAATTTATTTACTCATAAGCAAAACGTACTTGTAAGTAAACTTTTTAAAGTTAGCTAAACATGAACATCTGTTTCAATAGCATACACTGGCATGGACCAACTACAGCAGTATTGCAAAACAAAAATAAAATTATAATCTTGTTGCAAACCATGCTAGACATGTTTCAGTGAAAACAATCAATCATGCGTCATCGATGCTCAATCATATCATCTATCAAACCTAACAATCATCCATTACAACATACATGCCATGCTACACAGCCTCAAATGCATTATTTAGGGTCCTAATTTCACTTTCAACACTCAACTCATTGGAATTAAAACACACATGTGCAGGGCTAGACCTATGTTTTGCGGGGCTCGAGACGAACTTCAGATTTTGGGCTCATAAATCATAGCAAGCAATTAATTTTTTCATTTATAATAGATTTAAGGACCTAAATTTGTTAACTTAAAATCAAAAACTAAAACAAAGAAAATGAAATATTTAAAATATGTATATTATAATCAAATAACAATGTGAAAATGTTCTAAAAAATCACTTAAATCCAACTCGTCTTGTGGTATTCGAGACAAAAATATCAATCAATTTCGTATAGTCGAGTTGTTCAACCATTTCTTTTTCAATTGATACCATAGCCAAACCATTCAATCTTTGTTGTGACATAATTGATCAGATATAAGTCTTGATCAATTTCAACTTGGAGAAACTTTTTTTTGCTAATGCAACTGCAACTGTGATGGTGAGCAAAATTTTGTAAGCAATGCAAGCATTCGGAAAATAGCTATTCATTTTCTTCAAGTAATGTAACACATTAATTGCTCTTTTTGTTTCTCTAGTTAAATAGTACCTCGAGACAATCAACTTTGAACACAAGTCATCACCTATAATGTTTGAATGTTCATTATATTTTAAATACTGCTCAAGATTCTTACAAGATTTCAACAAACTATCAACGTACATACTCTTTAATCAATGCAAATTAAACAAAAATGCAAATATCTCTTTATAATGTGCAAATTGTTCAAAACGAGTTTGAAGTGATGATCGAGCTTGATCAGTTATAAAGAGAAAATACTCAACTCTAAAAGATTCTTCAACCGAGTGTGTTACCTCTTCACTACCACTTTCATTGAATTGGTTCTTTCTTCAAATGTCGTGTCTCTCTTGGAATACAGCTTCAATTCCCATTTCACTTGCCATTTGTTTAGCTTTATCCATGGTACTAGCAAATCCAGTTTCTTTATAATATTCAAGAAATAAAATAAGTGCTTGTAAAAACTTGATGGCTTCATTAATATCCATGTTTTTGACTAGAAAAAATTTACTTACAGTATTGATTGCATACAACAACTTATACCAAATTACTATGCCAAGCAAAAACTCAAAATTTTCAAGTTCATATGTTGCTAAGGAATCGATTTCACTCTATGTTTTAAGATCTTCAACAATGTTTGTCAAGTCAAGTAAAACGTTTTTTATTTTTACAGATTATTCTTTTATAGGTTTCACACTTTCCACATGACTTTCCCAACGCGTTTGTGCAATGGCTTAAGTGTTAGACCTTTAACCTTATCTTTAAAAAACTTTCATCTTTTGGGAGAAGAGAACAATGTGTAGGTTCGTTGTATTACTCCAAATGAGATAGCTTTCGAACAATAATTTGCTATATCACATAATGCTAGATTAAGGCTATGGGAACCATAAGGAGTATAGAATACCCTATGATTTTTTTTGAAGTAACCTTTTTTGTACACCTCTATGTCTCCCGTTCATGTTAGCTTCATTGTCATACCCTTGACTCCTTATATTATCAATATCAAGCTCAAAATTCTTTAACACATTTTTAAGCTCAACGACAAATCCAAGTCCTGATGAATCATTCACCTTCAAAAATTCAATCCAATATTCTTGTACCGTCGGCGAGTCTACAGAATCGTCCATGCATCGTATTACTAGAGACATTTGCTCTTCATTACTCCCAACCATTTCTATCATTTGCAAAAAGAGTTCATTGTTCTCAACATAAAGTTGCTCACAATCTCCTCAAAATGTCAAACTATTTTTAGCGAGTCTTTTCACAATAACAATTATCCTAGTTAACACTTGTTTTCAATGTTCTCTTTCTTCGTTGATGAACAATTGTATGCTTTCGTCAATTTTATGTTTGTTTGAAGCCTATTTTCCAGTTTCATCCAACTAATCATGCAACCTATATGCTCCTTAAACATTTCATGATTTGTAAGACGTCGATGCACATTATGCCAATCATTTTATCCATCAATTGACCAATATTTTTCATCATTTTTTCTATCTTAAATAACTTGCAGCAAAACAATAATAATAATAATAATAATAATAATAATAATAATAATAATAATAATAATAATAATAATAATAAATCTTATCCAAAGAAATTGAATCCACTAGCCATCTTCTATCAATTGTCTAACCATTAATTGCTCGTAGATTTAAGTTTCTGTGTCAACCCTAGTTACTCACTTTCTTTGCCTAGAAATCTTCGACGAGTATTTATTCCTCCTATTTGTAACTCCACTTGGAAAACTGGAGCTTTTATGAAAAGCTACTCTGGAGACTGGGTAGTAATCCAAAGTGCCTGCTTAGGTAATGAAAGATAAGTGAATCACTATTTTCGGGCGAAAGTGAAACCATTTGCCTCCTTCGATCAAAGGTCAATCAATAGCGGAGGCCAAATCGAATGTCCTTGAGGGGATCTTTTGCGTTATTGGAACAGGAACTGATAAAAAATTATGTATAGATCCCTGGTTGAACGGAGCAAGGGGTGAGATCATTTCCTTGTTCTCTTTCCGTTCATCCACATTATCATTTTGATTCTATTGTTCCTTAATCATTAAATTTCCTGTTGTTCCTTTCTTCTCTTCTCTCTTCTTGCCATTAAAGTACTTCTCCACATCTCCGGCTTGGCTTTGAATTAATGCCTCTACTCTTTTCCTCTTCTTCCTTTTTGAGCTCCTGATGCATATTTAGGAATCATGGTATTTGAGTCAGTTTACTCAACAGCTAACACTTACTGAAACTGAGAGTAAAAGAGGCTCAAATTAGTTTAAGAAATAAAATCAAAATTAATGACTCAATCACAATTCACAACTTATAAAAAATACTCAACTTAATATCAACCATAATTCACAGTTTATCATTCTAGAGTTTTAGTTGCTTGCTATTAAAAACTTAAACATGAGAGGATTAATGTATGAATTTCAAAATTTCATTAACCAAAATCTGGAATGCTAGATTACAGTTGCCCACTTGCTGTTAAATTATTTAAACATGGTGGGATTTTAGAATTTCCTTCACCAAAAACTGGAATGCTATATACACTTCAAAGTTCAAGTCTTCAAGAATCAAGATGTTCCAAAAAATATGTAAAGAACCCAATTTGAATATCACTGAAAACAAGAAAAAGAATAAATAACAAAAGCAACATACAATCCGCCCATCGCCAGTTGAATTTTGGGGAAAATAAATGAATTAACAATGATTCTGAAAATAGACGGATGAAGATGAAGTTGAAGTTGGGTTTAAGAAAAAGGGATACATAACTAATTAGTAATAAAGCTCCTGCACGGACCCCTTTGCACAGGGTCTGTACATGGGCTCTCACATGGGGGTGGACCCCATGTGTGTGCATCTGTACAGACCCTATGTAAATGAGTCTGTACAAATAGCACAACTCAACTAATTATTAGCCTCCCCCCCAATATGTTGGGCCTGAGGCAGAGGCCTCTTGGCCTCTCCTCAAATCCGGCCTTGCATATGTGCACATAGGATAATCATTCTCACTAGTATGATAACATGCCAATAGATCAAACACAGTTGAATGATCTAGGTAATTTGGACTTAATAATAAACAAACAGCCACTCTCTTATTTCTTCCCCCTTTTATTCATTTCTGTTAGGTAATAGTTTAAAATAGTCCAAGAATCATTATTCTGTACTAAATCCAGTTATGGTCCATAAAAGAACATCCTTACAGTAACATGAGGATTACGAATAGAAATCATGTTGAATTAAAGACAAAAAACTGAGAATCTGCAATAGCAATAAGTTGAAGTTCTCCTATAAAAAAGAGTACATCCTAGCAAGCAAACTACATAATTTTTTAGGAAATGTTACATCATTTCACCGTGAAGTAACAGCTATCCTGTATCCCTCTCTTCCATTAATTCCAGTGTCGGGGAAATGGAAAAATAAAATAAAGCTTTGAAATTCTAAAATGGTAGGATTCCAAATCATGTCTAAGCCATAAACAAAACTGAACTCTACAAGACAATTCTCTATTACTCCAAAGATATTAACAAAAGAAACTTGAAAAATTAAGTCACCCATCAATGTGATCGGTGTGAATACAAGCATAAAACAGAATTTCGACTTGAAATAGTACTGTGGGAATCAAATTACCCTTCTATTATTAGTAAAGTAGTGTAGTGTGAGACTTCAATAAAGCAGGAGGCAAAACATTTTACTTTTGAGAGTATGATGTGCAAAGCAAGTGTTTAGCATCAATGAAGCCAGGAGACAATTAAGCTATGTTAGACTAGTTTAGAGGTAGACAATACTTATCAGATAGCTAATTTATCCTTCTTTAGCCAACTGACGAGACTCTGTGCTCTTTCCCAATCCTACTCCTCTCAAAGAAGTGTCTACAAATTAAACAGGGTTCTTATGGGTACTAATAAAGACCTAGAACAGACCCAGAAAACACCTAGCAGCAAGGGTTTGTTTTGCTTGCAAGATGCAGAATTGATACTAATTCAACACCATCACGTGGTTGGATGGACTTTCTTCTACCCAAACAAATAGTCCTACAGACGGTCTTTCAGTCAAATTATTAACTGAGCAATCTATGAGACGATTGAGCTATTATATCAAGCAACAGAGATGGTGAAAAAACGACCATGGTTTTTTGTCCCCAAAAAATTCCAACATAACCTTGCATATCATTTTTTCTCTCTCCCAACCAATCGCATTTCTTCACGAGAGAACCCCAACAACATTCTTCCACTCACTTCCTGCCACTAATGTTGCCACCTTCACAACCTCTAATGGCATCCAACTGTTCTCCACCGTCTAACACCACTTACCACGCACAATTTGCAATCCCTTCCACAACCAGCAAGACCATTTGCATCCAACCATCGCCACAAATCTCACACTCCAGTCCCCTTCTTTTACTCTCACCAGCTTACCCACCAAGAACAAAAGACGGGGTAATCTATATTTGATCAACTGTAGATTTTGATTTCAAAAATTGATTGTGGTCGTGGCAAAGGACGTGGTGATTGTGATGAGCTAATGGATGGTAAGGTGAGGTTGGTGGAGACTAAGGATAAGTAGAACATCACAGTTGGAAAATAAATCCTAAAAATTCCATATTTGGACCTTGGGCTTAAGGATCGCCTTAGCAACTGAGAAGAATCTAATACAAACATCAACTATTCATTATTGGTATTTTGCAGGACCATGGCTAATTCCTCAATGAATTAAAAGAGAATCCATAATTGCTTCAATGGTAATGAGCAATTCCAGTTACATACCAGGTCATAACCCATAAATGAGACACAGAGGCACGAGGACATTTCTTGTTTCCATCTCTGCATTATATTCAATAAAAATACAAAAATAATTTTTTTTCAGCATGACAAAGAAAAGCATATTAGAATAATCAGTAAATGAGTTTGAAGAACAACAGTAGTGTAATAGGAAGCAACGGCACATATAAAACATATCAATTACCTTTCATCTTTCCTTCTCTTCTGACAAATCTTGTTCAAGGCATCTTTTTGCAGCGCAAGTTTGTTTTCATCTCTTTTATTTCCACCACCACTACCACTACCACTGCCGCTAGCATCTCCATTTCCATTTTTTCTAGCTTGCCCTAGATCACTTTCTGCATTAAACCCTAAAGCAGTGCTACTTCCATTTAGCTCATTGCTTCCATGTTTACTTCCTGAGGCATGTCCATTAAAACTATAGTTTTTGAGGTCAGCATCCATTGGTTCACAAAATACATTTGATGATCCACTGCATGGAGAATATGCAGTCAATTTCTTTAGGGACAATTCACTGGGGTCCGATGGTGGCTGTTGTTCCAAGTTGAGAAAATTATGGCAATGGTGACGGTGATGATGATAATGGTCATGATGTTGGTGGTAGTGGTGATGATAAGGGTGCCCATCTTGATTTAAGCCTCTTTCTATAGCTAAGTTTTCTGTAGTTTGCATGTCATTGTGTATAACTAGATTGTCTTGCTGTTGGGTGTACATAAGGTCATTTTTCACAGGTCTGAGAGCAGAAGGGTTAATTGTAGACGTTGCTCCAAACTTATCCTTCACGACTGACGGTTACGTACTAAGCTTTTTAGTTGAGGATCCCATATCTATAATATCACCACTCTATTTTGAACTTTGACATAGAAGATGGTCAATTTAATGAGCTTGTATGTCAAAAACCGACTCTCTTTTTGCATGTTCTATACTACAATCAACTACTGAACTGCTTTCAGTGATCCCATTAGGGGTCTTGTGTTGGGAATCTACTTATACATGCATAGCGAAATTTAAAATAATTTTCGATTCCCACCACGAATCGCCTTTGTGTTTAGATAGAAATTGTGATAAGATTGTACCTTTTTCAGATCTGCAATCCTTTTGCTTTTCTTTTCGTTCCACAACCTTGATTCGCCACCACAGCTGTCCAATTGTCCAGCCTCCAACGGTGATCCACACAGAGAATATGATTGCAGCCTCTAGGGTTTTCTCTTGTGCCAGCAAGAATAATGAAAATCTTAATGGACCTCAAACCCTAATTATGTATTTATATAAACCCAAACAGGCTCGGCCCGGTCCGGTCCAATAATTAATTAATCCAATTAATTAAACCCGGTCCGTGAATTAATTAATCCAATTAATTAATTCGAAAATATAAATAACAAATCCAATTAATTAATT